ATTTTAGCAATGTTTTTTAGGTGGTAATAAGCTGCTGATGTTACAGATTTTATGTGGCTTTTGAAATTTAAGTCTGAGTCCATTATCACTCCTAGATTTCTGACCTGATTTGAGGGTTGTAGAGAGAGAGCCTGGAGGTGACAAATAACGCTCTCTCTTTGTTTCTGGGGTCCGAAAACAATTATTTCAGTTTTGTCGGTGTTTAGTTGGAGAAAGTTATTTTGCATCCAATCACCGATTTGCTGGACACAGTGAAGGAGCGAGTCCACTGGTTCATGCTCTCCTGCTGTCAGGGACACATAGACCTGAGTATCGTCAGCGTAATTGTGATAAGAGACATTATTACTGTGAATCAACTGACCTAGAGGCAACATATAAATATTAAACAGAAGAGGACACAGGATTGACCCCTGTGGCACTCCGCAGGTCAGGGCCAAGTGGTCTGAGGTACAGTTTTTGATCTCCACAAAAAACTTTCTGTCTTGTAAATAGGACCTAAACCAGCTTAGGGCGGTGCCAGCAACACCAACCCAGTCCTCAAGTCTCTGAATGAGGATGCCATGATCAATAGTGTCAAAAGCAGCACTTAAATCTAACAGAAAAAGGACTGAGACTTTTCGTGCGTCAGTGTTTAGTTTGATGTCATTTGTTACCTTTATTAGCGCGGTCTCAGTGCTGTGGTGGGGTCTAAACCCTGACTGGAACATATCATAAGCGTTATTGATTATTAAAAATTCTGTAAGTTGTTGATAGGCAACTTTTTCTAGAATTTTTCCCATGAAAGGCAGATTTGAAATGGGCCGATAATTTTTGAGTGCCAGGGCTTCCAGACTCCTCTTTTTTAGGAGGGGCCTGATGACCGCCGTTTTCAAGGCCATTGGGAATGTTCCAGATTCAAGAGACATATTAACTATTTGTGTAAGTGAAGGTAAAAGACTGCTCAGAACTGACTTGAGAAATCTAGGAGGTAATACATCCAGGCTGCATGTGGAGGAACTCAGACTAGTGATTATCTCCTGGACAGTTTCAATTTGTACTGGTGTAAAGTGCGTCAGCCCAAAAAGCCTCACTGTCGGTTGGATTATTATTTCTATCGTGGAGGTGATGGCGTTTTTGATACCTTGGACTTTGTCATTAAAGAACTGAGCAAACTCATTACATTTAGATTTGGAAGTAAGTTCTGATGGCATCTTAACAGGGGGATTCGTCAATCTATTTACTGTTGAAAACAGAACACGTAGATTGTTGCTACAGCCTTCAATAGTTTCAGAAAAGTACATTTCCCTCGTTCTACGTAGTTCCCTGTTAAAATTGCACAACGCATCTTTGAAGATCTCATGGTCAACTTTGAGATTTGACTTTCGCCACTTCCGCTCGGCCTTCCGGCACTCTCTCTTCTGTGCCCTGACCGAGTCTGCTTTAGTCCATGGCGCTTTTTGCTTGTTTGTAACTATTTTAGCCTTTACAGGAGCAATTGTATCCAGAAAATTCAAAACAGTGGTGGTGACAGAGTCAAGTAATTCATCTACAGTAACACACAACGTGTTCTCAAAGTTTACCCTCCCCATGAACAGTTCGCCTGTATTATCATTTATGTGTCTTCTTCTAACAACCGAAGATTCAGCTGGTGGTTTACAATCAAGACACATGTCAAAAAATACACAGAAATGATCAGACAGAGCAACATTGACCACATTTACATTTGAAATATTAACCCCCTTGGTAATTAACAGATCGAGAGTGTGTCCTCTGCTGTGGGTGGGGCCACTCACATGCTGAGTGAGACCAAAGGTTTCCAGCACAGAGCTCAGCTCTATTGCATATCTACCATTAGCATTATCTACATGTATATTGAAATCACCTATAATGACTAAACCATCAAAATCTGTGCACACAACTGAAAGCAACTCAGTGAAATGATCAGTGAAACTATGGCATGACTGTGGCGGCTTGTACACAACAATAATAAGAATGGAAGAAGATTTCTTTTGTTCTATTTTAAAAGAAACATACTCAAATGATGAAAATTTCCCAAGAGACAATACGATCTTTAAAAACTGCTGCTATGCCCCCCCCCCTTTTATTTTCTCGTGTTTCATATTCAAATTTGAAATTTGGTGGTGAGGCTTCTATTAAAACTGCATCTCCTGTATTATGGTCAAGCCATGTTTCAGCGAACAGATAAAATTATTAATTAAAAATTATTTGTTGCATAGTGATCTGACATTAACCCTTGTATTATGTTGAAAAAAAATGACATTGATTATGTTGCGGGTCATTTTGACCCGTACTGTGTAAATGCACTCAAAACAGTCAAGAAAACAGGTTAAACCAATAACAACTTTATATAAATATTTAGCAAAGTGACATACAATACATTTTTAATTCCAACGCTATATTTAAGAAATATTTAGTCTAATCTTCTTGTCCTCCTCTCGGGTCAAAATGACAATTCTTCCCTCCCTCTTTTCTCCTGCCATGCTTTCTCCTTCCTTTTTCTCATCCTGTTTTCCTTCTCTCTGTTCATCCTCCTCTATTCCCTTCTTTTCTCTTCCTTCCTTCCTTCCTTTCTCCCTTCTTTCCTTCCTACCTTCCTTCCTTCCTCCCTTCCTCTTTATTTGACCAAAGATTCGTCCTCTGAATCCTCCTTATTGTAGGAAAATTGACAATCTGGATCAGCAATAACATTGTCCTGTATCTGAAAAATCCTCTGTTTCTGAAATCTCTTCCTCTACATCATTATCCCAGTTAAAAATCTGTGAAAAAGCCTCCTCAGATGTCATCCTTCTGGAGCTCATTTTTGGTGAGTTTGTCTAAAGCCTAGCATACATCGACAGAGTAACTGGAGACAACTAGTTGTAAGGCGGCTTTTGGAAACTGAGAGTAGATGATGGAGATGATCAGTTGTTATTAGATGTGAGCGCTCTTACAACGCTTCCAGAACAGGCCAAAGTTGTTCACAAAAATAAAGTTAAAAGTGCTGCATGTAGACTGGAGCCACATGTTGAGCGCCACAACGCGACTGTAGAGGCAGTCACCCCGGTTTACAGTCGGGACTGGACCAGAAATAAAAACGGATAACCCGGAGGACTGGAGGAGGCGGAACAGATCCATAAAGTTCTTCTTTGTGACCTCTGACTGCTGCAGCTTCATATCATTTATACCCACATGCACGATTACCTTGGATATGGTATTGGGCAGGGAGTGAAGCAGAGGAGGGAGACGGAAGAGCAGATCTGGGACAGTAGCTCCGGTAATGCAGTGAGTGACCGCGTTAAAAAAGCGGACGTGCCTCACGATGGAATCTCCAACAATCAGAGTAGTCGGGGCGAAGAGTGGACGCGGCCGCGGAGAGGGCGCTCGGTGTCCATGGCCAGAACCAGCGGGCTCATCCAGGGATGGGTCCGAACCAGGGCGCTGCTGAACACATGGAGAGGAGTGGGGGTGTTGATTCCCAGCTCCGGGCAACCCACGCTGTGTGCACGGAGACGCCGGAGCAGCGAGAGGAGCAGGCTCGGGTCGCTGCCGCTGACCCGGTGAAGGTAAGTGGTGGTGATGCACTGGGGTCAGAGAAGGGGAATGACCACTCTTTCGTCTGAGGACAGCTTCCTTTAAGAGTGTCTTTCTCGCAGTGGACCTGGATCCACGGACAGCAGTAGAGTTTGCTGCAGAGTCCAGGGGTTCTGCTGAGGGGGCTGGGATGTCAGCGGAGAGGGCTGCATAGCGGTTTGACAGGCTCAGGACATGGGCCACGGCGCTGGATGGCTCCTCGCAGTCCGCAGGCTCTTTATTCCGAACCGGGCACTTAGGTGTAGAACAAGAGGGCCCAGAGCTGACAGATCTCTCCCACACGACAGTGTCACAGTATGCAGCGCTCAGTGACATAAGCCGTGAGTGCTGCCCGCCAGCGACATCAAAAAGTTTGGACACGAGTGACTGTTTATCCTGCAGCTCTGCAGTGAGGCGAAGGACTTCTTTACGGAGGTCTGCAATAGTGGCACGGTCCCTCTCACGAAGCTCCAATGTGAGGCGACTAATGTCGTTCGTGGTCATTGCAGTGTCACTTTCCATGTCTGTGGTGCGCTCGTGGTAGCCTCCGAGCTAGCCCGTTTCGATTGGGTCTTTGTGTTAAAAGACGTGATGCTCTGGAACCATTGCATTTAAGGTAATAAAACACTAGAGTGTACAAAAGACACTAATACACCGTAAAAACGTGTTTAAAAGGCTTTAAAAGGCTTAAAAAGGGTAAACAGAGCAGAGACGTCAAAACGCGTGCTCACCACCACCTCCATGTCTCTTATGGATTTAGCAAAATCATATGTGGCTGATCAATCGACAGAGACTACAGTGCATTGTGCGCTCTGCAGAGGAAGTGATCGGCCGCAGCCTTCCATCGCTGCAGGACCTGTACGTCGCCCGAGCTCGAGACCGGGCTGGTCGTATCACAGCCGACCCCTCTCACCCTGCACATGGACTATTCCAACCACTCCCCTCAGGCAGGAGGCTGCGGTCCATCAGGACTAGAACCTCCCGCCACAAGAACAGTTTCTTCCCCTCTGCTGTTGGACTCTTGAACACTTCTTAACCTGTCCCCCCACCCTTTATAAAGTCACTTTACTTCACTGTACTGCTGTCACCTTACATTGTGTGCACCATGTGCACTTGTAAATTGTAAATAAGACTTAGGAGATGGAGGAGTGGTGATCAGTCCATCTGAGCCTTTTCTTCTGTTTCCCCTCTGCTCTCTGCAGCAATCTCTCATGTGTTTCAGTGATCTGCTTGTTTATCGCCTTCATGGAGCCTTTCTTTAGTCTCTATAGAGGTTTGTTGTGATTCATACTCTTTTCCACAGAGGTTCAATAGTTATGGGGTCAAATACAGCAGATTTTTTCTTCTCTAATCAACTTTTTCTGCAACAAAAAATACACAGCTCTTCGTCACAAATGTAAATCTCTTTCTGGTCAGATGTGAAAACCAGAAAGCCTGAACAACCAGCAGCTTCATGCAGTCCAGCTCCTGGTCACATCCAGTAGCTCCATGCCGTCGCAGCAGGAGCGCGGCCGGGACGCCTTCACCTGCAGCAAACATACGCAAAATGATGAACTCAAGATACATCTTAACAGGATCAAAACAGAGACCTTCAAGACTCAAGGCAAGAAACACTGAAACTGATCCAAAATCACTTGAGTTATTTAATAATTTTCTGAGAAAAGAGGTGAACCCTTGTCGAAAATCAGACGCATAGGCAGGGATCTTTGCACACCAGAGCAACCTGGAAGTTTATTCACAACAGGTGGTAGATTCAGGCAGAACAATAAACAGGGAAACATTATATATTGGAATTTGCGTCATCATGAAAGAGCCAAACCCAGGCGTCAGTCAGCTAAAATAACGGATACACAATCGTAGCAGATATACAATCAAAGAACATTGTGTGTCTTGTACTTCTATTTTATCTTGTTTTTGTACTACTATATAGGCCATGGTCTTCTATTGTTCATAGTCCCTCCCTTGATCACATAAACACATGTGATCAATCAATTCTAATTGGCCTTCATCAAAGTGTAAAAAAAAAAAAAAAAAACAATGAAAAAGTAAAGTGAATTTAACTGATTCTTTACTTTCAAACAAAATCACTTTCAGTATGTAATAATTTAACTAATTTAGTTGATAAAATAAATAAATAAAAACAAAAACTATTGGACACAGTAGAACGCAGTAGCTTCAGTCAAAACACAGACAAAAACGAGCTGAGTCTCAAATTAGAAGCTTATTTCAATATTTCTTACTCTATACTTTTATTATAATGCTGATTGTTTACACTACACTTATTTCACTGTATTATTATCACTTCTCAATCTTAGACAATGTACTTTACTTTTATGATTCACTATAGTTTAAAACTATTCTAATCTATTTACAAATATGTTTGTATATTTGCTTTTATCGAGCCATATTCTTAAACATACATTTTAATCTAATAAATCTCTCTGTAGTTTACTTTCATTATCAGTGGATTATTGTCAATGGGATTTTGCTCCATGTCTATTCTACATTCTCAGGAATAAAACTGTGAACACAGTAAGACAAATGGTTAATATGAACATTATTATGGCGGTCAGTTTTCCAAATACATTTGTTGAACCAGGAAGTGCTGTCACTTCCTCCTCTCAGGCAGTTTGGGATGAATGTACATCAGTAATCAAATTAGTATTATCCTTACAAGAGCTAATCTATTTTAGCAGGTTTGGGGTCAGTTATTCTACAATGGTGTTTGATTCTCTAATCTGTGCTGGCGAATCAACAACTTTTTTAACTTTTCAAAAATATCTACTTTTGGTTTTTGGGCTATACCCAAATACATCAAAATGCTTTTAAATGCTTTTGAATCTCTGTTGGTTCTAATCTATCTCATTAATCTATCTAATTAATCTAAGCTACACTCATATAAACTTTTTGTGTTTCCAATATTCACAGATGTTTGAATACCAGTGAATTTGGCAAGTATCTAATAAAACTGTACATAAAACTGTAATTAACTTTATTTACTTTTGAAGTAAAGGTTGTGAACATATTTTGAAGGAAATGCTCCTTTTGCCGTTTGATAATAGCACTGGCTAGAAATAATCTCTATTTTATGGTTGATGCTTTTATCTATTTCTATTTTTCTCTATTTTTACTCTAACTCTAACAACTTTGCGTTTGCAGCTTGAGCAAACACATATTTCTAGTTTGTGATTTCTGTCACTTTTAATGACTGCAAAATAACTCTGATTCTAATATTTTAGCTGCTCTATCAGAAGGATAATATTGTATGGTACTATTTTAACTCTTATGTGGAAATGTTTTTCTGAACAAAGGAAGGAAAATTCTACTTTTTTACTACTACTTTATCATTTTAACACATTTTAACAGTTGCTCAGTCTCCCAGACTAAAAAGTCAAAGTTTTTGTCTGTCAGATGTCTGAATACTTTACATGTGTTGCATTTGGTCACAGTTGTGGTTCTGGTTGTAGCAATAGCATCGGCAATAGATGATTTTTCTTTGGCTGGTTCTTGTTCTGCAAATGGCTGTGTCCAATAGATCATCAGATGTCCAGAAGCTAGGGACAAACAAAAACAAAAGAAAGAATCATGAGTATTTGTCTCATTTAGCACTCATCAATGTATGATTTTAGAAATATAAACATCACTCCCCAGTTTTCTCTCCAAGGGTCCCCTGAGGGTGAGGTTGGGTTCTCACTCTGGTCCATCAGGTCAGGTTATATTTCGAGAGATGTCATCTTGGACATCAGTAGGGTCCAAGCCAGGGTATCAGTCTCTCCAGATTCATTCTGGTCACTCCAGGTACATCTGGTCAATGGTGCAGTGTCTCAGTTCCTGTACACAGCTTGTTATGCAGTAGTTACTCTCTATGGTTAAGTCATTTTGATTCTACTTTAAAGACAATTTCTATTCATGCTGTTGCTAATGTCCCTCAGACAAAAGCAAGCGCAATGATTCAGTTTACTTCTCTAATTTGGGTTTTTATCAGATGTAATCAATGTAATTACTTCACACAGTACAAAATCAACAAATAAAAACAAAAAATGTCAAGACAGGCCAATTAAGTCCATGACAATATTGAATTCAAATGAACATTTCTGGTCTCAAAAAATACTGATTCAAGTGAAGATTCAAGTGTTAAAAATATTTGTTTACATTACAGTAAACTTTTAAAATGCCTTTTCCTCATGTTCTGCCTTTTCATGTATCTATATGTAAATGTGAATGTGTGAGTGTATGATTGTGTGCATGTATGTGTGAATTTTGGGGTGTCCAGACTTCTCGTACCACCTGCGTTAAAAGGTCACACTGTGTCGATTTAACCACGTGGACACACTTTCAACTGCCTCTAGGTTCTCTAGCTGAGGCCTTCACCCATCTCTGCCTCCAGAAACCTTCACTTTCATGGCCCCGGTCTCACTCCCACTTACTTCTGTAGTGGGAGGAGGGGCGTAGAGGTGGCATTGTTGCCCTTTTGCTCTTAGCTCTGTGGCCTGCTCTGGGTGGGTCTACTCTGGGCTCCTGTGCGCTGAGCTCTCAGTGTCCACTCCACAATCAGTGACCTCTCGTACAGTGGCCTTGGTTCTGGAACACATCTTGAAACAGGAAATTTAAAAACAACAGATATCAGTGTATGCAGGAGATTGTTTCCTATCAACATGCGCTATATAAATAAAGATGACTTATTTCATACTAATGTAAAACATTTTTAAAACCAGAAACTCTTTCTTAATAAAAAACAAGACTCAAATCTCAAAAAAACTTTTAAACTTTAAAAAATGTATTCTATTTTGTACTTCTGTACTGTGTGATGTTTTTAATCTTGGCGTCCTTGGGTTTCTTGAAATGCGCGATAAAATAGAATGAATTATTATTATTACTCAAATCGCAACTAAAACTGTATGAAAAATCTCTGTAAAAATGAATTTTGAAAAACATTAAAACAAAACTTGAAAACATGAAATCAAAGCAAAAAGATTAACTAAACTGGATCTTAACTTGAATATTTATAGCATATATTCTAATTTAAAATAATTGCTGCATTCTTCAAATGCACTCAATAAACTTTTAAAAACAATTTTGAATTAACGGACGTTATCAAACTCTGCTCGGCCTGCAGTGAGTAGCAGCTATAGACAAAACAAAACTCACAAAACTCACAGCTTTTAGACTGTGAATTGGGTGAAAGTTCAACTTAATAATAATACTTTTACAGCTATCCTATTCTATTCCTAATCCCTCTTTTCTTTTTTACACAAACTCTATAATCAATAATTCTAATCACTTTTAACACGGATTCTAATTTAAATGTTTTGAAAAACGGCTTTTGTAACTAAATTAAAAATACATATAAAAATTCTCACTAACAGTTATGAAATATATCAGCGATACAATAATGGACTCAAAAAATAAGCAGCAGATTTAAAAAGAAAAGCAAAGTTTTTTTAGTTCTAATCATTGGATTTCAAAAACATAATAATTCAAAACTTATTCACTAATGGTGTTTAAAAACGTTTAATTGTGTCATAACACAATGTGCACAAGGAGAGCAGAGAGAAAGCAGAGCCGCGCGAGGGTGGGGGCGGTTACCCTGACAACGCAGCATGAGAGACTTTTAAGTGTTATATAACATAAAACCAAACTAAAATTCCTATAATTCACAAGAAGTTATACTAAAGACCAAATATATGCAATTTACACTCAATTTCAAGAATATGTCTGATGTTTTTCTTTATACTTTTGTCATCTAAGTATAGAAATGGTCCATTTCAACACTAGTAACAAAAAGGTCCATACTTATTTAACGTTTCCCTTTTTTAAATTGTTTTTATGTATTCTATACCATGGCTTCTCTATTCTAATGGGCCTCTAACCTTCTGTCGGACTTTAACCCTTCTGTGGGCCTCAAACCTCTCTGTGGGCCTTTAACCCTTCTGTTGGCCTCAAACCTATCTGTGGGCCTCTAACCTCTATGTGGGCCTCAAACCTGTCTGTGGGCCTTTAACCCTTCTGTGGGCCTCAAACCTGTCTGTGGGCCTCTAACCTCTCTGTGGGCCTCAAACCTATCTGTGGGCCTTTAACCCTTCTGTGGGCCTCAAACCTGTCTGTGGGCCTCAAACCTCTCTGTGGGCCTTTAACCCTTCTGTTGGCCTCAAACCTATCTGTGGGCCTCTAACCTCTCTGTGGGCCTCAAACCTATCTGTGGGCCTTTAACCCTTCTGTGGGCCTCAAACCTGTCTGTGGGCCTCAAACCTCTCTGTGGGCCTTTAACCCTTTTCCTCTGCAGGTAGCTAACCTCTCTTCAATACAATCCTATCTATAGATAAAACATTTGGCAGACCCCAAAAACAGACCACAATTTAGCTTACTCAATGAGGCAGACTTTGAATTAACAGGTGTCCGCTTACCTTTTCCTTTGTCGAACAGGGCCCAGGTGCTGTCCAGAGGTCCACCAAATACCAGCTTTTTCCACGTCCAACCGGGGTCTCTCAGATCATGAAACAATGCTCACTAGTACCGGGAACTAGTT